TTAAAACGCTAGGCAGAAAATCTAAAATCTAAGTACCGAACAGGACAGCCGAACATGGACAGACCACAGGATGAGGGAAAAGGCAAAACACCATCTACTCACAGCATCTACTCACCTCCTCCCTGAATCTCACTGCCATTCCTCTGATGGGATTACCTCATGGAAAACAACACTGACCTCTCACAAAGAAAAAATGTCAGTGTAATTACGATTAAAAAATGAACGCCAGGAATACGAGACAATCCATTAAAGCCAAGGATGTCTCCTTTGACCTTTTGTAAATGAATGGACCCAATCGGATCTAAATGGAAACAGGACACTGTCTTCAAGTCAGCAGGTGGGTCTAAGAGCAGTGTTTTCACCAGACCAGAAACACCTTGCAGAGACCCCACCTAGTCCATAGCGAGCTCCACCCTCAGCTCCACCCTTTTCACAAGCACTTCCTTTTACCTTGCGTTGCCAGGCACTCTCAAGCAGAACCTGGACGAGCGCCTGGGGCCAGCTCTGGCGAATGGAGCACGCCCAGGGAGGCGTCGCCCAATAGGACAGCTCAGCCAATCAGAGAGCTCGGCTGCTTATTCTAACTGGCATAGCATGCCATTGTGAAATTCAATCCTCCTGGGGGTTGGGGGGTGAGGGGTGGCGGGGCGGGGGGCTGTTATCTTTGACATTAATCCTTAACATTATATTAGGTCACTTGAGCTGAGCTAGCTAAGGGCATATAGTTTAATGCTGTTCTAGTTAATCGTTGACAGACTAACTTCAAGATCTGCGGGATGGGAATGTATCCAGGCGAAACTTCAGTGCACAGAAATGAGGGAAGGTGTTAGCAGGCATTTGATAAAATAGCACACATAGTGGATAGGCTTTCAGTGACATATGGACCACGGTACAGAGCAGCACAATAGCAGCGAGAGGAATATTCAACTGCAATTTGCTCTGAAGATCAACACTTGTGCGTCAACAGGTAAAGTCTATACACCCAACAATAAAAAAAAAAAAACAAGACAAAAACCAAACAAACACATCATGAAACGCCAACATAAGTCACATTCTTCTACAAAAATGACAAAAAGAGACTAGTCACCCGGAATGTGGACACCAGTATCGGCGTGTGTCAGTACCGTGACGTCACACCGGACTGTTGTTGTTCATAGCACAGATCTCCTAAAGGTGTCCTCACAGAAGCTGAGTCACAGTCACCCTGCCTGACACATGTGAGTTTGGTACACTGTGGTATCGCCCCATCACAACAGGATGCAGTCACTGATACCCCAGCCCCTGCCAGCAAACACAGGTCAGAGGGATGACTCTCTGAAAACCCAGCTTACTGTATTTGCTTGTTCTACAGATAAACTAACGCGCAAAGAGTATCAGATTTTCAGAATGTAATAGCATTTCCATTCAACATCCCCTCACCCCCGACATAATGAATAAACTAGTGGTGATATCCTACATCTGAATAAGTTCTCACCATCTTATTTAGAAGATTAAGGAACACGTGTAATGAAGAACCGCATGCTTACCAAAGCATCCTTCCTCTTAAATAATCAACAAAACATTGGGACTGAGGATGCTGAACGAAGCCTCATTTGGCCTTACCATTGCAATAAACTTTCAAATTTTAGAAGCATATTTTGTTTCATCTACTCCATGCAAAGCTCCACACCGGCGCGCTTTACGGTCACGCGACAGAAAAGTGCAAAGTCCTTTAGTCCATCGAGCGACCTGAACATCGAGAAATAAATTCAAGCAGTAAAAGGCTGTTACAAAAGATCACCCGATGCATTACATACTGGGCCGATCAAACTAATAAGTACGAATAATACTAGATCATGAATCACCTGCTGAAGCGAAGGCAGGATTCAGCCCGACTTCATACGACAAACAGCCGCCAGCAGCCGGCTTGAGCACCGCCCAGGTGTGTTAATTGACCCCCGGCAAGTAAACATTCATACACAATGAGCTACTGTCATCCGCACCGAGAGCACGGCAGAGTGGCCGCCGTATGCTTCTCAAAGCCTGACTGTCCATATTCTGAAGTCGCCTTTAAAAAAGACATAGACTAGATCGCTGTTCAAAAAAATTCATGTTTTAAACGGCATCCGACAACACAACCCTACAGGTGCTTACATGCAGATACATAAAAGGCTCCGTATGATCAAATCACAACGATCAGCCGCTATGAAAGAAAACTTTTATTATGCATAATAGAGAACCCCGAGCTCCAGCCTGCTTAAATGTAAAACACCTATTTCAGCATTTCAATGCAGATCCTCACCACAAGGGGATGCTACGTGCATGGCTGATCGACCTTCATTTGAAACCCTTCGTTAAGAAAAAGAAACAAATTGCCAAGGGGGAATTGAGAAGCGAGAGACGCTGCAGTGCGGGAATGCAGTGCGCCGAAACTGCGGCGATACCGGCTTATTGGCAGGGAGCCGCTGGAGCAGCAGAACCTGAAAGGCGAGTCGCGAAGCCGCGAACGGAGGCCGACAATGCAGCCGCACACGCCCACTTCGGCACTGAATGCCCGGTCCCGATCACCCCCACACCCACAATCCGTTTAGCAGAAATCACACATAAGCATTTACCCCTGAGTACCAGGTACGTCACATCAGTCACAAAATCAAAGGGGGGGGATCTTATTTCAAATTCTTAAAACCTGTAGATCTACAGGTAAGCATAGGCTAATCATACCACAGCTCAGCCCCCATAAGACTAATTAACACAATTTATTTCGCATTTCCTCTTTGATGTTTATAAACCGGCCCAGGTTAATCCTACATTTAAATGTGTTGTTAGACAAGCCGAATTGTTATGTATAATCACATTCATGCTACATGATTAAACTTCTCCCATAGTTGGGAGACACCTGTTGGTCTTTACTGATTTTATATAGTTACCTATTACAAAGGTTTACAATCCACTGATGAAAAGGAAGAAGCTTTGAGTTCAATAATTAGCGATAAAACAGCATTTGCAGTCAACTGTCCATCGACATTAACCTCAGTAACAGGGCAAAATGCTCCGGCTGTATCCGCTTATGCGGATATATGAGAGTTTTGAAATTGAATTACACTGAGTCATCGGGGCTCCGCCGAACATGAACCAGGTACTTAAACGGAAAGTTCTGCAATAATTTATAGAGCGTTACCTTTAAACACTAAGTGCCCCGGAGGTTAAAAAGAAAGAAACTCACCTGCGCGTTGGTACAGAGTGAAAACGACGAGATGGGCTCCTTTAGGAAAACATGCAGGCTGACTGACGCTCGCCGAAAGTTTAACTAAACCGAATAGTGTCACTGTCAGGGATATTTAGCTGGCACTTCCTTAGTTACCAGTTGGTTATTTGGGGGAAAAACACACACCTGAAGGCAGAAAGCAAAGGCAGGATCGGGGGAGGAGCGTGGGTACGTGCTCCTTACACATGTAGCGCCCTCCATTGACGGATCAGGCGCACTGCACCCAGCAGGCTTTCATAACGCTCCTCGGCTATTCCCGTTACACATGGCGCTGAAATTACACGTAAAAGCGGGCGAAAAACTTTCCCGACACGCCCGTAACGCGTCGAGAGCGTCCATCAGAGCGCAAGATTAAACGTTTTTAACTTATTTTTTGAAATACGAACAATATCTTGGTTCCCATAAAGAACAAGACATAGCACCGTAAAAACAAGCCTGTACTCGATTAATTGATTCTAATAGAATTTGACATGCTAGATAAATGATCAGATTATCATTATTGTATTACAGTGGCATTGAAGTATTAATAAGCGTCTAGCCAGCATGTATAGCCGTTGACTGAATTTAGGCCTATATAAAAACATTTCCATGTCAAATAAAAAGGCTTAAAGCTCTCCATTCTCAATAAAATTCTAATAAAATAACCACTTCCGCCCATAATTAAAATGTAATAAAAACGTAAGCAACTTTATTATTTACCTCAAAGCACTTAGTGAATGTTTGTGGTAGAATGAAAATCAATCCAATTCGGCAATCTTCAGCAAGTTTTTATTTGTTAACAAAATCAAGATTGCATCACAATATATTCGCTCTGTTATGAGTAGAAAACTTCTTTTTAAAGAATTAGTTGAAAGGCACAATTTTTACAATATATACAGTTCGATCTAAATTATAAATATATAGAAAATAACAAAAGCAAAACCCAGAAAAGTGCTAAACAGTTTTACAGAAAAAATAGCATTTGTTTGTTTTTATTTTTTATTTTTTTAAAAAGTAACAACCAGTAGCATGTTTATTTTGTTATTAGCAATAAATTACTTCGGGGGGGTGGGGGGGGGTGGTTTTCCATCTGACAAGGTGAAGAGACTTAACATGGGAACAGTATACAAAAAATATCTGTGAAGAATGCGGGGGCACAAGAGGTCATGGATCACGCAACAGTAAATGGATTATGCCATTCTTAGTGCAAATTAAAAAGATGAGCAGTACAGCAAACTAACATTTCGACAGTGGTAAATACTTTTTTCCTTTTCCATATTGTGTACGAAATGGACAAAGCATTGAAATTAGGCTAGATGATGCAGATGACTATCCAATATTTTTTTCCAATTTTGGGGGATAAAGTATGCCGGAGGTGGGTGAAGGATTCTAGTCGCAAGCGGTTAGTAAAACGGTGCCTAACGTGGGAAATGAATACCAGTTGTTTTCGTTATTCAGCGATGAAAACAATTCTGGAGCCACAGGCATATAATACTTTTCCCGAACAGATGTGTACCTCGCAAAGGAGGGTGTGCCCCCTCGGCGCGACTGGCTCCCCACCCGCGTGACTGTGAAAAGGTGGTGGTGGTCACTGGTTTGCGATACGGGCTGTTTATCTCGCGGAAATGAAGCGAGCCGATGCTCCTGTGTTTTGCTATGGTCCGCCAAGCGTGCGTTAAAGGGCGTTTGGAGCGGCCTGGCGTGAGAGACCGTGCCTCGGCGACAGTCTTGGGAAGCTGGCAAATCAACAGATTTCCACAAATGACAGAAGTCGACATTCTTTTCATACACCACTTTTTATCTTTGCCCTAAGATGGCATAAACACTTAAAAATAACCAGAACTCAGCACAGTAACGAACGGCGAAACCTTCGAATCAAGTTTCAAACATCAAAAAGACAGCTAATCACTTCCAGTGCAGAATGGAGGTGGAAAGAACCGAGGGCTTTTTTTTTTTTTTTTAGTTGTCGTAGATACCAGATCTTCTATATATAATCTTCTTATAATTTGTAATGGATATTTTGATATAGAATTTTTTCCTGAGATTAAGATTCGGATGTAGCCGGTAACTTCGGGTGCGGAAATACTTTGGTATCACTCACAATAACTGTACAAGAGTCAGGAGGACAAAACTGCAGAAGAAAACAAACAAAACAAAACAAACAAAAACCCCACTCACACGCACACCAGCGACCCTGTACAGCAGTACACAACAGTGCAATACATTTGGTGGGAGATTACGATAGATATATTTTGTGTATATTAATTTTGTTTTTTAAAAATGTCCCTGACAAAACATTTGACTTTTTAAAGTATTATCAACTACAGAACCGGATTATAATGTTAAAAACTATTTCCACTAAAATGTCCCTTAAATATAAATAACAATAACAATATTAACACCCATAAAAACATTGCTTTTATCCAATTTCTCTCTTACAACATGGAACATGAGCCTCGATCCTAAAAACAAAGGATCTCAATTTAAGTTTCTTTAAACATTTGGTAGCCAGTGCAAGCAACCTACACATAATCGGGGGGAAAAAGTCCAATTTGACCCTGAAGTGTAAACAGCACTTAGACATGTTTTCTACACCATGTTTATTTTATTGCTTTTGGTGAGGCTGAGTATGAGATCTGGGCCAATGCAGTGTAGCAATGCAAGGGACCCTGCCAGGCCCAGATACAAACATGGAGAATCCTAAGGGCCAAAACCAGTATATTCAGATTGTAAAATCAGAAACTTTCCTGAGGATTTAAAATTAAGAGTTTACTAAGAGTCACATTATCAGGTAATGTGTCACAAAGGCAGGAAGAAAAAAAAAACGCTTGGAAAACAAGGCTTACTGGAAGTTCTCAACATGGTGAACTTGTGAAATGATCGACTTAACCAACCAGTACTTTATTTCTTGGGAAGAATTAGGGGTGCCATACACAGCTGACAGGAAGTAAATCAGGTTGGGAGGAGGGGGAATCACATGACCACCACCACATGACTAAGGGGCTAATTAAATATAACCCAATAAATAAGATGCCACAAAATATAAATATATACACAAGATCAGGTGTTTAAATTAGCTCACTTCTCACCTTGTTCTGAAGGCACTGTTACAACAGTAGGTTGTTGAATCATGTCGTTCCCCTTTAAGCGAGACGGCTGCACACGCAGCTACTCTATACGAAGTGGTGAAATGAAAGGTCAGGCCCAATGAATCATCAATCCGACACCCCCGACTGCGACACTAGCGGGATGTGGGATTTCACGTTGGTGGGTGTACCTCTTTCCGATGGGATATTTAAGTTTCACGGCACTTGGGTTGGGAAGGTTTGGTGGACGGGGGGGGGGGGGGCGGCATTCTCTCAAAGCAACTACATCAAACCTGGGATCTGTTCATCGCAGCAAACAGAGGCACAGGAACCTCTGCAAAGTGACCAGGGAAACAGCGTGACTATGGCTCTTCACCGAACTCTTTACGTCGTGGGGGTGCAGCTGGCTCCTGACCTACATTTGAAAAGGTGCTTCTGGGAAGGCAATGCTGATTCAGCACCTCTCACTTTAGGGTTACCAAACGCGATGACAGGGATACGCCAAACTGACGGGCTCCCGCAATGGACATATCCGCAGCTAAAATGGACTCTTCTGAGCTCGACAGCAGGCTGTTTAACCATCTCACTGGCGCTAACCCTACAGGCCGGACTTAGTGGAGGTGGCAACACCATCTAAAGATATCGAGTATCCAACTTTCACCCGCTCCGCTGGCTACACAGATATGCTACCGCACCGTGACCCCTGCGCCCGGCACTGGTGGTACGGTCCAAGGGCCACCGATGGGACTGCTGCTGGAGATGGTGGGCGATCCTCCAAAGGTCACACAGCACGCTTCTGGACGCAACGTTGTACTATAGAATCTGTTTGGTTTCGGTTTCTCTGCGATGAAATCAGAGAGAGGTTCCTTCCAATCTGTCTTGGAGGGAAAGACATTTCTATAGAAATTATGAGCCGAGCTGAACTGCGCTCTGGAAGCAGGAGGAGGTCCGAACACCACCGTGACGCCGCCAGCATCGCCGTGGCGACCCAGCGGCCGCCTGCCAATCAATTCCGGTACTGGATGACTGACTGTCTGTTCGGGTTGGTCCCCAGCATGCTGTCCAAAACTTCCCGTGCATTTATGGGTCCCTCCGTGTTGGGGTGCCCATTCACCAAGGGCTGGGGCTGCGGTTCTGTGGGGGTGGGGGCGGAGGAGAACAGGGAGGAGGAGCAGAGCGCAGTGGGGAAGGTGGTTCTGGCAGAAGAGGGCATGGACGAGTAGGGCAGGTTTAGGGGAGGATTGTTAAAATTCAGGTAATTCTGGTAATCCACCGGGCCCTCCTGCGGTACTGCCGCAAGTGGTAGCTGCAGCATGCGCTGTGCCTGCAGGGGGCGCTGCGAGTGTTGACTGCGCGGAACTTGAGCAGTACTGAGTGCCGCTGACGGCATCAGAGCATCCAAGGACAGGTCTTCTTGGCCGTCAGCAACGGGGCCCACGAAGCTGTCCAGAACTAAGCCCAGACCCAGGCCCAGGCCCAGACCCAGACCAGCGTCCGGAGAGGGCGAGGAACTACTTATGGTCAGGTCCAGCACATCGTCAGAGTTCCTCTGGGGGGGCAGGCACTGCAGGGCAGGGTTGGAGAAGAACTGCCGGGTGGGGAACCCGCACCGGCTGGACATCATGATCTCCTTCCGCCGCTGCTCCTGGTCATCGGCCCGCCGCTGCTCCTCCTCGCGCTGCTCCCGCTCCCGCCGCTTGCGCTTCACCTCCTCATCCATATGGAGCAGTTCGTTGCGCACCCGTGCCACGCAGTTCTCCGGGATCTTGATGCCTGAGGATGACAAACAAGTCAGGTCTTCTGTCCACATCTGGAGGCCCAGGAGCAGGATCTGATCGCATGCAGCCCCTCACAAACCACCTCGGACTAACAGCAGGTCCTGGTCACTAGGTATTATCAGGACCACCAGAAACAGCTCTGCTCCACTGAGGAGAACACGGGCAGGAACCGGCTCCCCAAACGTGTGCCTGCTTACTGTACGGCGAGCAGGAGATGAGTGGATGCCAGGAAGCGTGTGGCTGAACTCCTCAAAGCCATTGAGAAAGCCAGGTGAACAGAGAAATCACACAATGAAGGGCACCCAGGGGAAATCCAAGGGAATTCTTCAGAACTGCATTATGGCGCTTTAGAATAGTGCCAAGGGTGATTAAATTACAGGAAGAACCCATGGGTTTGTCAGCAATGTGATGTATAGGCAGAGACCTGAAAATAAATGTGTCTGGACTGACAGCAGTACACAGAAATGGGGGAAGGCCAGGCTCTTAACCCGCCAGAGCGTAAACTCTTATCTGACATTTACATTTCACATATTTATCTGATGCTTTTTTCCCCCCAAAGCAGCTTGAAGGGAAGGATTGCTTTGTGTCGTTAGTGCAATGCTCTTCTTGTTGAGCTACGAAGGAGTGTAGCCCCCGCCCCCCGCCCCCTGCCCCCGCCACGCACCGACTTGCTTGTTGTGCTGCTTGGTCTTGAGCCGGACGATCTGCAGGATGCTGGAGTTGGTGACGTCGGACACCACGTCGGCCACGCGCTTCCAGACGCGCAGCAGCGCGCCGCACAGCATGTGGTACTGCCGCAGTCGCATGCCTAGCCAGCACTCGTGGCCCTCCTCTATCTGCTTGCACTTCCCGTTCCTGTGGGGAGGGGCGCGCGGGTCAGGGGCGACGGCGCTCGACTCCGGGCCGCGCTCGCGGTGGGGGTCATGTGAACACTCACCAGTTAGCGTGGCAGCATTTCTGGAAGGAGAACTTGAACTGATGCTCCCATGCTTCTCTGGCCTCGTCTGCAGTCACCTGCGTGTGGACAGACCGCCGGCGTCGTCACAACGGCGCACCCACACCGCCCGCACCCTGCAGACTCTCCCCATGTCAGCCGGACGCTCACCTTGCGGTACCTGCGTTGCAGGTTGTCCAGGTTCTCCGGATGCGCCTGCTTGCCAATGTTGGGCTTGTAGAGGATGACGTTGCGGTTGCGGCCTTGCTCAGCCAGGAGAACACAGGGGTAGTTTCCCCGCGTCTGAGAAAACAAGAGTGTGTCACCATGTCAGAGTCAGCACAGTCTAGCTGATCTATGGAATGTTTAATGACTGGTGCTGCCCCCATCTGGTCAGCAGTACAAACTGCACCGTCGTCTACGCTGCTGCCTGACATCTAAGGCTGTGGGTGAGAAATCAGAACAACCCACTGACCGGAAATACACTTTCATTCCCTTTAAACACTGCTTCATTACTGTTTAAACCCTACTAAATGCTCAAGGGAGTTTTACAAACATAAAAATGTTTTGAGGGCAGAATGAAAAATGATTGGTTCAGAGAGAAAACCAATCAGATTGCAGAGGAGGTGGGTCCAAGCAACTAGTGGACCAAACATAACCCAAAGACAAATACACAACGGGTTCAGTATTACCGGCATGTAACGGCAGTCACAGCTATCCTGCACTATATTCCTGGATACCCGGTGCCATTTACATATTCTATTATATTAATGTATGTCCCAGAGCTAGAATGACCTGCACAGAGAACAGCATATATATGAATTTATCTCTAAGCAAATTATATACTCCATGTATCTACTGTCTAGAATCTATTTATCATTTTGCGCATTTCTTTGGTAAGTTTCGGATAAAACCCTCACACAGTTTGGTAATTAAGTTTGGAAATTAAAAAGTGCTCCATCTGGTGGGTTTAATAATGCATTACCAGAATAATGGTGGAAACGTGGTTACAGGAAGGGGGGGGGCTGCATTTAACCAGCTATTACAAAAACTTATAAAATATAAAAATGTTTAAAGATAGGGTCATGGCCAAGCCAGTAACTGACATCAGTGAGGATGGCAACACCACCAGGGCCTGGACCTTCTCAGCTCTCCTCTGCACCAACATCACCGATACGAGCGACTCCCAGCCTTCAAAACCTCAGGTAACCATTTCCGTGTTCTCAGTCTCGGGTAAAAGTCTGCGCACCACGCCCTGCCGGCTGCGGTGAAGGAGCATGTTTCACTCAAGTCTTCCCCGCCCCCTTCTCAGCCGTGTCACCGATACGCGAAATGCTCGCAACTTGCACGGCGGGATTCCTGGAAGCTGACGCGTGTTTCCGGCCGTCCGGGAAACGCTCTGAGGGCGCCGGGTGTGTGTGTGTGAGCGACGCTGAGGATCCCGGCGGGGCTGCTGTCTCCTGTGAGGACGGCGCCCGTTTTTGTCTCGAGTACCAAAAAGCTATTATCCAGTCGCTGATGTCAGCCAGGCTCGGGGAGATGTGCTGTGCTATTACTAGCTACACAGCTGTTCGTGTTAATTCTGCCGCTGAGGTACTAGGGCTAGGTTCTCCCACACAAGTACATGAAGAGGCTCACCTTTCGTGACAGATAGAAGCCCTCGTCCGTGCCTTGGAGGGTCTCTGCTTTGTCGCAGGCTTCCTGCCAGGGCATCCCTCGGTCCACCCTGATCTGGTGACATAGAAGACAGTCACTCCGGCTGCCGTGACACCCCCTCCCGCTTCACGCAGGGGCCGCTATTGGCTTTATCTACCAGCAGCTGGACCACGTCCCATCCTCGACATTAAACGTACGCGATCTGGGTCTCGGATGACGGCCCTCTCAATATCTGCAGGCCAAACTCGTCTAAATCTGCCAATCACACGCACGCCGAGTAGATGGACGTGGCCCACGCAAGGCAGAGCAAGGAGGAGTCTCTCAGTGTTACGGCCCCAGGATTCGTGCGGAGCTGCCATACCTTGTACAGCACCACCTGGCCATCCTGTGGGTTCCCCGCAGTGAGGAACTTCTCCTGGGTCTCCTCATAGATCTCGTCATTACCGGGAGCCAGGTCTACAGGGATGGAGACAATGCGGTTACATTAGGCCACAAGTCCTCCCTTATGAGTCGGGCCCAGTAGAAGCTTTGAGGGAGCAAAGACATGGATCATCTGCGGGTTCCTGAGGACTGAGCCGAGAAACACTGACGTAAGTCATTACTGTTACTAATCATTATATATACGGGAAAGCGACTGTTCAGAGACTACAGGTAAACACTGACATTTATGAGACATAAGCATCTGAATCACACAGGCACAGATGAAACCCGCTGCCCTGCCCAGCACCCTCGCCAACCCGCTGCCCTGCCCAGCTCCCTCGCCAACCCGCTGCCCAGCACCCTCGCCTACCTAAGATTCCCATGTCGTACTTCCCTTCCTTCTTGTCTTTCTCTATCAAGTAGTCAAAGTTGTCAGTGAAGTACTGGAAGAGCGCATTCTGTTTGTCCACCTCCAGGCCCAGGATGCGGTTAAGGAACTTCGTGATACTGCAGTCTGGGAAGAGCGAGAGGAGAAAAGGCCCCACTGAGAGAAGCTTCTAGTAAGAAAAGAGTGCTGTACACCGCCATCTATCTCTGGGGTGAAATGGTGACTGGTGTGATGAGGGATGAGCCCACTTGCCCGTACCTTTCTCAGTGCTGAGACCAAAGCGAGGCTCTTTACAGAAGATGCCAACATCCATCATGCCACGCTTCATGTCTGAAAGAAAGCATCACAATCCCCTGAGCTAACTAGAGAGAGAGAGAGAGAGAGAGAGAGACAGAGAAAGAGCAGGGCTCACCTCTGAAGAACATGGCATCGCCGTCTGGATAATCTCTGGGAGGTGGCACCTTGCTCTCGATGTGGCCCAGGATGGCTTTGGTAATCTTGTCCAGAGCCTTGGTGCCATACTGCAAAGGAGGCCGGAAAAGATGGCAAATTATTTATCCCGAACTACCTAACTTTGACCAGGGGAGGCGCTACAGAGCACAGAAGGTTTAAGGCTTTAAGCAGGTACACGTTACCGTCAGGCCGATTCGAGCACACGGCATGTGGCTGGGTCCTTACCTTATTCTCGAAGTTGTATTTGCTCAAGTCTCTGGACTCGGTGGCTCTCCGGTCGCCATGGGTCAGGGCCCCCTGCAGAACACAGCTTGAGGTCAGGAGCTAAGCAAGCACTCGCACGGCGGTCCTGTGGAGGGTCCAGTCACACCGCGAGTTCCAGTGAGGCACCTTGTTAGCGCGGCTTCCGCCTGGAGGAGGCAGCCTTTACCCAGCAGAATGACCGTGCTGATAATGGAAGTGTGTGCCACTGCAGATCAGGCGATTTTTTTTAACCATTTTATTTACCTTTTTAAAATTATTCCTTAACTCTGGAGTTCTCAGGGAGACTCATTTCATTGCCTGCTGTATTGCTGTGCATCTGATAACCACCGATTCGGTTTTTGAGGAGAAGCTGCTAGACTGTTGAGAGGTCGCCCATGGTGTGACCAGGAGGAGAGCGAGAGCTCAGGCCCGCCTGGGAGAGAGGGGGTGACGTACCAGGCTCTCCAGCCTCTTGGCTACGATGGAGGCGAAGCGTCTTTCCCCGCCCAGCTCGGAGATGAGGAAGATGTACTCCGGGGCAGTGACCTGGTTAGAGCGGTGAGTCCGACCTGACAGGAAGCAGTGGGACGTCAGACACGAAGGCGCAGCACTGCAAACCTTTACTGTAGCCAAAAGCTGACAATACAGGTGCTCCTCCAATTATGACATAGTCACGTTACGATGAACCAATCATAAATGGAAAATACTGCAACTCAAAAACGAATGATAGATAGACTGAAACACAGAATGATAGATAGACTGAAACACAGAATGATAGATAGATAGACTGAAACACAGATTAGATAGATAGATAGATAGATAGATAGACTGAAACAGATAGATAGATAGACTGAAACACAGATAGATAGATAGATAGATAGATAGATAGATAGATAGATAGATAGATAGGACTGAAACACAGATAGATAGACAGATAGATAGAAACACAGATAGATAGATAGATAGATAGATAGATAGATAGATAGAAACACAGATAGATAGATGATAGATAGATAGATAGATAGACAGACTGAAACACAGATAGATAGATAGATAGATAGATAGATAGATAGATAGATAGATAGATAGATAGATAGATAGATAGATAGAAAGAAAGAATACAGATACAAATTCCACAGGACAAACCATTGTGAAGTGGGGAACATTTGTAGACAACTCTAACTATAAAAAAGGCTGCTTTATAAACACACTGCTTTACGCCTTACAGGATCAATGCATCAGTGTGGGGGGGGGAAAAACAAAACAAAAAACTATAAAAGTGGCTTCACAACTGACTCAGTAGATGTCGCCAACTGGCAGACAAGCACGGTGAGGCTGCGGTTTCTAAATGAGGACACCAGCGTAAGCAAGACATGACAAAACCGGAATCACGCGTTCTTGACAAAAGCGGGCAGGAAGCGGCTCTTACCAAACTGCTGTATGGCGCGGTCTGCACTCCACGGCAGCTCCAGCGTCATGTGCACCCTCCGCTTCTGGTTTTTCACCCGCTTGTCAGCCTGCAGGGAGATGCCGGAGCTGGCTGCCTCCGAGATGATGGCCACGAGCTGTGGACAGGGTGCATCTCGAATGAGTCGCCGCTACACTGCTGTCATGGGCTTACATGAATGGGTGGTGTAATAATGTGGTGGCGGGGGGAGAGGTACAAATCAGGTCGGAACTGGTGGGGGGGGGGGGGATATCTGCACATAGAATTTTATCCGTTAATCACAAATGCACATTCTAGTTCCCCTGATGAGCTCTCGACATTCCCCTGGAGTTCCCGAGACGAGCTCCTGACGTTCCTCAAACGAGCTCCCGACAATCCCCTGACGTTCCCCAGATGAGCTCCCGACGTTCCCCTTATGTTCCCAAGACGAGCTCCTGACGTTCTCCAGAGAAGCTCCCGGCGGTCCTGATGTTCCCCAGACGAGCTCCCGACGTTCCCCTGATGTTCCCCAGACAAGCTCCCTACGGTCCCCTGATGTTCCCAAGAGGAGCTTCTAACATTCTCATAAAATTCTCCTATCCCAACATTCTCCTGACATTCCCCCAAACTCCCCTTATGTTCTCCCACTGCTCCCCTGACATTCTTCTAACTTTTTCCTAGCTTTCCCCGAGGTTCTCTTGACATTCCCGAGACCTTCTCCGAATGTTCTTCTCACCTTCTCCCCACTCATGAAGCGTTCCTTCTCCTTGATGTTGATCTGGTCGATGGTGAGGCCCTGTTCTGCACGAGACTCGTAGCGCACGCTGCCGTCCAGCCGCCGAACCACGCGGCCCTTCCGGCCCGTCATCTGGGAGAAGACAGAAATACCTCAGGGTCTGAGGGAGTTGCCCGAAAGCGCCGCCCATTTCTCCCCAGCGCCGATCTTTAGCCCACTGTTTCCCAACCCAGTCCTCGGGGAACCCCAGACAATCCACGTTTTTGCTTCCTCTCAGCTCCCAGCTGATCCGGAGTTCCTGACTGGCTGGGAGGGAGCAAAAACGTGGACTGTCCATGGTTCCCCGAGGACTGGGTTGGAAAACACTGCTTTAGCCTAACACCGTGAGCCCCAGGGGGCTCACCTCCGAGACTCTGTCCGGCCCTCCAAAGCGGTCGATCAGTTCATCCAGAGTGTTCAGAGGTAGCTCTCTTCCCAGCTCGGAAATCTTGTTCAGGAGGCCTTGCTTCATTTCTTCAATTTTTGCTGGTGAGTAGAAAGACCAGAAAATGTGAATGTATTTAATGCTGTGTCATTTGGAAGGTTTAAATCTCTTCCTATAAAATAATAATATATAATGAATAGCCACAAATAAACTATTCATTTTTATCCAGAAAATACCGATATTAGTCATTAAAAAACAATACATACATCTACCACTATGGGGCACTGCACCCATAATACTGTTTAACTTCACAAATTCCAGGAAAATACTTTTTTTCCCCAGATGAAATAGGTCAGAATAACAGCACATGTAAACACTGACTTGGCAGAAGGGAAAGATTAACAGCACTGACGATGTGTCTGCTTTTCTGATAAGTCCTTTCCAGCTATTCTCAGTATCTGGATTTATATAAAAACATTGAAGTAATTTCTTCCCCAGCTTCATGAGCTTGGGAACTGTCAGGTAAAAGATCATTTGAAAAGACCAGGCAAATGAGCACTGTCTTTTGTACTGTGAACAAACTAATGTGAAAATATGCGAAGTAAAACATTAACCATGATCCGCAAAACACCTTCTGTGCAAAAAGACCGGGGACAGAGTGGAGGTTTCACTGCCTGCCTGATGTGTGTGGGAGGGTCAGGACTCCAGCTAAATCATAAGCTGGTTTGCCATAGGCTGGGCCGCCGTGTCCAATCACGGGGTCCCGCTCCGTCTGTGTCCGACCTACCAGTGTGACAGTTAGTGTGGTTAACAAAGATGACGTCATCGTTGTCCTGAAGGGAGTCGGGGGAAGAGTTTGAGTCGCTGTCCAGACCGTCGGAGTCAGTGCTGCTGTCGTCACTGATGTTGATCACGCCCCCGTTGTCCACACTGTGCTTTGGGAACTTGGGCTGGCGGCCCTTGGGCTTGCCTAGAGCAGCGGGGAACACGTGTCACACACCCCCCCTGTGATGGAGGATCACACCTGCTACACTGCAGCTCGATAATGACCATCTCACATCCTACCAACCTCATTCCCCATAGATTTCATTATTCTTGTATGGGGAAAAAAACCCTGTTCTAATAATTTAAACATTTCATATAATCCATAAAAAGGTTCCAAAATGCCATACCAGCGTGCTTCATCATAAAATGACTCCATCGCTTTCATTCAGGGGCAACTCTGTTAAAAACTAGCGCAGAAGGGAAGTAGTCAAGCTCACGTTTTCTCTTGTTTCCGTTGCCTTTCTCTCTTCTCTGTTTTTCGGACGGAAAATGCTTCTGTACCAGAGACTGAAATACACCCCTGAAAGACAGAAGCCAGCGTTACCATGGAGCTCTCAAAACACGAGCCGGCTGAAGGAAGCCTGCTGGAGCGCGTTCAGGCGAGACATGATCGCGCTAATTAGTCTTCGTCTCTGCCGGACGCCTGTAAAGGCTGCACACACCGGTGTGCGGGTCCAACAGCACGTGTTCAAGTGCCTCAGTGTCAGCCTAAGGCACAGATGTCAAACTCCAGTCCTGGAGGGCCGGAACCCTGCACATTTTTGGGTTCCCCCCTCATTTAACACACCTGATTCAACTCCTTGTGCTAATTACCACATAGCTCTTGAGCTGAATCATTTGTGCTAGAACAGGGAAAGAACTAAGCTGCACAGGGCTGCGGGCCTCCAGGACTGCAGTTTGACACCCCTGGCCTAAGGCGTATCAGTGGCTGAGGTTGAACACTCACACAAAACAAGAGATTCACTAGAATCATGGTGGAAAGCACCACACATTCTTAATGACAACAACACTTTATAGATCTCCATGGGGAAATTCTCTTTTTGCCTACCCCATCTCACTCTCCATGACACAGACGCATATGTAGCTGAGAGCAGAGCTGGGTAATTCAGGTCCAACGAGTAAAATGTCCAGACCAAGATTTTGTTTCAACCAACCAGTTGAGTATAAAGAGTCACAGTACTCAGCTGGTTTGTTGAAACAAAATCTTGGTCTGGACTTCTACTCTCTGGACCTGAAATACCCAACTCTGGCTGAGAGCAAGCTTTGCAGCAAAGGGCAGCTAGCTGCAGTGGCGCCAATGGTGCTGGAGGTTAAGGGCCTCGCTCAAGGGCCCACAAACGTCACCATTCTGCCGAAGCTGGGCTCCACCACTCTGGCTCTATGGCTTGGCAGCAGCAACATCAGGTGAACCACAGCTCCTGGACTGTACGTACTCAGCAGCGGAGACAAATCGGTCCAGATGTCCATCGTTCTCATCCAGGACTTCTCTAGTGCGAGCCTCGCCCGTGGACTGCAGGCCAATCACAATGCACTTTGGGGGGGGGAGACAACATTGGTTACAGCCGTCCTGCCACGCCCTCAGCTCCTCCCCCAAAGAGGCTCACTGTCTCACCTTGCCGGCTGCCAGCTCCCTGTTGGCCAGCTCCACGAGGCGCGGCACCTTGGCGGCTATGCAGAGGTATTTGAAGAAGCGCTGGTGCGACGACCAGAACTGGCCCCACAGCGCTTTGCGGGAGACCAGGCTCAGCTCGTCGGCAGCCTTGGTAAAAACCTCCAGAGCTTCTGCCCACTGAGGTCCACATAAACAGAGAGGGTGGGAAATGGACAGATTGAAGGAGATGCTGCCATAACCTCCGTCAGTGAGCCATATGGCACCCTGAATCCGACCTCCTGTGACAGCTCACCCTTCATGTTGACTTGCTTCCGCTGGGTAATAAATATTACTAATAGCCAAATGGAACTTCCTGAACCATTTGCTGTATTTTCTGACACCACTAGATGGCGCTCTACGTTCATAAAATCTAAAAGCATGCCCCAAATTAAACCATGGGCACCATCTAGTCAGAAAATACAGCAAATGGGCAAATTCATTTGCCCATTACTAATATATCTTACCTACAAGGACTCTAGCATGAGACATCAGCCAGCAGACAGGCAGATTAAATAGCTCTCTATAGTATCCCGTAAAGCTAAACAAAAGGACACTAGAGACATCCAAAAGGAAGCCCTCACCAGCCTGGCAGCCTTATTGTAGACCAGCTTGAATTTGTTGTCCAGGCTGATCTCCTCAATGCGGAAGGACACGCCCTGGAAGCTGAGCTGGCGGGCAATGTACATGCCGCTGACCTTCATGTCCATGGCCACGATCTCCATGGCGCCCACGCCCCTGCGGCAGAGGGGTGGGAATCCCTGTCAGCAGCGCCTCAGCAATGAGACACCCAGAGCCAGGGCAGCACTGAGACTGCAAGGGACAAACCTCTTTTCGATGGCATGCAGGAAGTCATCGAACATCTTGAAAGGAGTTCCCTCGCCCCAGATTCCCAGACGACTCATGTAGATCATGTTCTTTGGCTCAGAAGCACCTGGAGGAAGGCAGCAGTAGGCAGATGATCAGGAGCAAGGTTACCCCAGGTGTTGGTGTAGCGCAGGACAGTACGGGGCAGGTGCGGGGCCGACCTGTAGCACTGGCGTAAACCACCCTGGCCAGCGGCAGCTTGTTCTGCAGGTCCAACACCGCCTTGCCCATCTTCGTGGACGTGGCGTTTTTGGCTTTGTGGCATTCGTCGAATATGATCTGGGTAGTGGAGGCGGTCAAGGAATAAAACACGTTTGGGGAAGGGTGGCATAAGCGTCAAACTCGAAAACTACTCTGCCATAAAGATTGAGGTGGGGCCCCATTGGAAAGCGACCATCAGCAAGGGATACGACTCCATCGAAGCCCGGTTTGCACCAGTCCAGGATCTGCTTTAGCCTGGTCCGGCGCTGCCCGCCCGCCTGGCTCTCCCCGATCAGCGCCGAGTAAGTGGCGAACAGGACTCCTTCTGAGGTAGCGGTGTCTCCATACTTAATCTGGGAGGCACAGAGAGGCAGGGGTGAGCGCGGCCACTCGCCAGCCCGAGAGGGCATAGGAACAAGCTGAGAGCACCAACCTTATTTAAGGCATGAACATGTATACCGGGAGCTTCTATGTCTTTGAGGTCTCGCTCCGCGTCGTACTTCAGGTCGTTGGAAACGCTGAACCTGGAGGATAAAACCAAAGGGGTGGGGATGGTGTCAGTATACTGGCCCCCGTAACCCGCTAAGGAGAGCCGTCGCTTCCTGAAAGGCTGTGGGATGGGAGGCCGCCTTTACCATAATGCTTTGTTCCGGCCCTTTAAGAAGTTCTCCACGATGATGCCGGCCACAGTGCGGCCCTTGCCGACACCGGCCCCGTCGCCGATGAGGAAGCCGGCCCTCTGGTTATTCTGAAGGATCACCTCGTGTTGCTGGGGGGTAACCAGACAGAGAGAGTGTGAGGTCAGCGGGGGTGAGGGTGGGCTCAGAGCTGAGACCTCCCAGGAACGCCCGCGGGAACCTGGCAGGCGTATATGATGGCCTCCAGCTGCAGGGCGGACAGCAGGCCCTTCTCGATGGTGCCCTCGGGAATGGACAGTGTGTAGGTGATGTCGGGCGGCGGCACGCTGGACAGGGTGTTAGTCTCCACAACGATGTCAGGGTGGGACTTCCCGATGGTGGCTGCGGAGAGCACACAGAGCGCTAAGTGAGGGACCGCGCACAAGGCCCGACGGGGCCCGCCATGGAGCTGAGTGGCCACGGCCCAGGCCTGACGGGGCCCCTGGCCTGCAAAGGAGTGGCACGCCGTACACTTGAAAGGCTTGTAATCCGCATAGGTATCGATGTGCCCGAGCTCCTCAGTCTCCTCTTCCTCGGCATCCTCCTCCTCCTCGGGGGGGGCGGGGGGCTCCTGCGGAAAGGGAGGCCTTGTCACTGAAGAAGCCTGCCATTCGGCGGGTGTTAAAAGGCAGCAGGAGCGTGCGATAAAACAACACACAGCTGTAGACCTGAGACCGGGGATTGCATGGGAACACGGGGCATTTTAAGGTCAGGCTTCAGTCTCATTGTGAAAAGGACGGCACCTCTATAGGCCTTGGGTTCCCAAATTTTCCACCTACATCCCCCAAAATAACAGTACCAGGGACTCGTGACCCCCATATTGCCGACCGATGGGGAGGCCCTCAGTACATTGTGATAACCAGTGGGGTGGGCCCCCCCCCCCCATCGGTAGATTTCTCACTCAACCGGTTGTGGTTACAATGGAATATTTCCACTTCTTATAAACATACCCTGGAAATCATCTCATGGCCTCCAGTATGGGATTCCCCCCCATTCAATTCGACTTATTTTTATATGGTGCCTTTCACAACAGAGTCATCCCAAGGCGCTTCACATGGGTGTGTTGCGATACATCAAGACAGAATAATACAGAACCAGAAAAAAGAAAGACAAGGAAATGAAAGAAAGAGACAGATGATAATGGAGGAGAGGAACCAAGAGAGTGACGAAAGAATAAAAAACCTCTGGAGGTTCAAGGTGGACTAGCTGCCCACCCCCTCCCCCCCCCCCGGGTATGTTAACATTATGGAATAAGAAGGAATGGGCTTGCTTGCTAGGTTAGGTGTGGTCAAGGTCAAAGCCAGATAGGGCACAGTCACAGTCACGGGGTCAGTTACCTGGTATCCTACAGACGGGGTGTTGATAATGGCGGAAACATCTTCAAAACTGTTCAATCCCTGAAACCTGTTTGGCTGCTCGGGGGAGAGGGAGAGACAGGAAAGAATCAAACAGGAAACAAAACATTAGACAGAACTGCTGACATGCACATACATGCCTACAATGAAGAGAATGGGTGAGAATGAAGGAAGCAGGACCAGCAACAACGATGGCAGCAACTTATATCAGATTAGGGTTTAACGGGGAGGTCAGGGTGGGGACTGTGGTTAAAAATAAGATTTTAGATACAGGTGTATGTTGCTGAGGCAGAACCAAACACCCGATGGCAAAAAATAATCACCAAACTGAGACCGAGAGGGAGCGCGTGTGTGGTTGCGGCTCGAGGTTTCGTAGGTACGGAGGGGTGCGTGGCAAGCCTCACCTGCAGCTGGTTGGGCGCGGGCGTGTTTATGTCCCATAACGTGGGGGCGTTGTCAGGCCGCAGGAAGCCCACGTCTGGGTAATCGCAAAGCGAATCGGAGGGGGAGGAGAACAGGGAGTCGTTGGAGAGGTCATTGATGCAGGGGAGTTCCTGTGGACACAGGAGGCATGGCGTTTCTGCGAGGCGGCCGGTGATAGACCAGGATGACAGTCACCCTACAGCATCAGGGAGTCCCTGCTTAGGTGACGAAGGCAGGCCGTATCACCCACCACAAGGAATATTTAAAATGATATTCCTGAACTTCCCAGTGCCAGGTTTGAAAACCCAGGGTCGGCCCAGACGGTCAGCCGATGGGCTTTCAGGTGGGGGGCAAACGGGGTCACAAACAAAGCCAGGGGTTACATGCCACCCCCTGAACAGGGAGCAACCGACAACTAGGTTTATTCCCCATCTGGGAGTGAAATGCACTCAATTCCAAATGCATGTACGTGCTAAAGGGACTGAAGACAACCGGTCGATAACTCCTGAGCTGCTCCGGGGGGGGGCACAGAGAGTGGCAGATGCACTGCCAAGTGTTACCACCAATCTGCCTTTAACACACATGCCCACCAGTCTATGATTAATACTCCCATTCTCGCACACTCCCACCAATCTGCATTTAATACTCCCACTCTCTCACACTCCCACCAATCTGCATTTAATACTCCCACCAATCTGCATTTAATACTCACACTCTCTTACTCACTGGTGTGTCATTACCGATGTGACTGTGCGCCATGATATGGATTTGCACTATACCATTAATACTGCAACTCAACAACCTAATAAAAAAAAAAAAAGCATTTTATTTTCTTTCGTCATCTGAATACTTCTCCTTATATAGTCTATGTAGCCGGTTTATCTGCGTTGCGTGAATTTTCTGTTTTCTAGAATTTTCTAACACTGACTGAATTCAAATTAAACAGATTTTGTGTAATTATGCACATTAAACAAATTAACCTGGTTACATATAAATAGTATCAAATTAAAAAGTAAAACATTCCATAATTCAGCATATACATGCGCCGCGGCCTTCATACATGTTGCATAGTAAAAGGCACAACTGCCCAATTAACACAAAAACTCCAACGAATGTCAAACTCCTTTAACCACCTAAAGCAGTTTGGGCGAATGCAGCCCTTTTGTTCACACTAACGTGCTGTTAGTGTTAATAACAGCAGCGAATCTAACAACCTCAACCAAAAAGCTGTAGTGTCCCTATCATAGTGGCTGCTCTGTCATGAAATCGTACAGCATAAGATTTCAAATACTGTATTTTATAAAATGTTGGATAGACGTAGCTTATTGGTGATTTCATGTTCATCAAAGTTTGTTTTAACTCAATTCACGTGAAACAAAAAAAACGTTTCAATAGCGATTAGTCTGACACATCTGGCATACCACGCAAGAAATCTTACGGCAAATCTATATTATTCCATTATAAACCCAAAATCAGCTACATGAAAAGCGTTAGGGTAGTTTGCAAACCTTACAGATAAAGCAATAAAATTGTGCAGACTTGTCTCGAATCGAAATTGTGGTGCCAGTCAGCTGACCAAAGATGCCAACCCTGTGTTTCATTTGAAATGAAAAGTAAAACGCACTGTTTTAGGCTGAAATGATTTGTCATTCTGCTTGCTTTGTTACTCTGGCAATTATAAGACAAATGAGAAAACATTACCGATGTCATTTTTTATATCTCTTCGAAATAAGGTCACCTACACCAAACTGTAGTAACAATTAAATTGTACTTAATATACTGTATTATGTATTTTAATTTACAAAAAGTGACATGCTCACATACTCACACTCTCCTACAAGCCCACCAATCTTTATTTAATACTCCCTGTCACACTCCCACCAATCAGCATTTATCAGTCATGCTCTCATACTATCACCAATCTGCGTTTAATACTCACACTCTCACATGACCACCAACGTGCATTTAACACTCACTCTCTCTCACTGCCACCAATCTGCATTTAATACTCACTCTTGTATACCCCCACCCACCTATGTTAACTGCTCACGCTCTTTCATACTCCCCCCAACCTGAGTTGAATACTCTTGCTGTCTCGTACGAATAGCTTTTAAATACAGATACTGAGGCAGCGAGCTCATCTGCTTCACCACTATGTGAAATTAAACACTACAACGTAAAAAAAACAAAAAAAAAAACACTGCATATCCCTGTGGAGGCGGTGGGGGGGGCATGTCTGGCTGTTTATTGAGGACACGGCTGCCTTCCAGTGGACCCATCAGCAGATCCGCGGCCTGCTGAAGCTGGCACACAGCAGGAAGAGGAGAGCCATTTCTGCCATGGTGCCACGACAGGCCTGCAGGATCACCAGGTGGTGAAGATGCGGCGAAAGCCACCATTCTGCACGACCGTCAAGCAATTCTATTTTTAAAATGAAAAAGCACCTGCTGTAGGAACCTGGAAGTCTTTTCTAATTCTGTACCAAAGTGAAAACACGGTGCAGCCACACCACAGACTCTGACATCAGAGCCGTGCCTTCGGGCCTCTGCCATCTCCCGCCACGTTACAGGCGGTAAGAGAGCACCGGAGCTGGGTGGTGCCCACGCTGCCCAGGAATGTGCCCCGGGAGAGGCTCCCCCAGGCACACGATTTCCCTCTCAACTCCAGCTGGCTTCATAGACAACAATAGTGCCCCTGGAGAAACTCTGTGCAATCAGCATGTACGCTGCCCATCACAGCCTCTTTAGAGGAGAATGGGCTGAATTTGAGGCAGTTTTCTCCACAGAGACCAGCCGACTGATACTGCCCAAGCTTCAGAGGACAGCTGAAGCTCTTCCGAAGCTGAAGGGTGGCCTGTCTTCCTGGAAGCTTCACTTCCCAGATCCGCTGGCATCGTTCCGAGAAACCAGACTTCTGCTGAGAGCAGCTCGTGACTTGGGAGACCGGGGCAGGACCACGGAATGACTGTAATCAAGCCACCCCACTATCCCCTCCCCGCCGGGGCCGGCCGAAGCACGACCTGATGACACTAATGCCACAAACATTGGCGCATGGCAGAAAATTAAAATATGGAGATTCGATACAGAAAGCCAGAATCTGGGAACCGTGGCTTCTGCATACAATTAAAAAACGTGAATGAAACAATGAGCAGCGTCTGGGGCCAGTGATGGAGCAGAGATCCTCAGAGCATGAAAGCCGGTTCTGGGACGAGAGATAAGCAGCTCCAGCTGACAGATGCTAATCGCCACTTCATTTACATTTTGTCTCCCCCCCCCTCCCCCCAGTCATCACTTTCCATTAGCCCCTCTGCTTCCAGCCTGCTACCCCTGGTGGAGAGACAGGGAGGCTGGGGGGGTTATACCTGGCAGAGAGCTGTCGTTTAGGGGATGAGCGCGAGGTCAAAGCGCCATCCCGATGCTGATCGATGAGAGAGCTCACAGTGAAAAAGCTTCACGCGGCACCTTCAAAACGAACAAACTATACCCCAACCGGCACACTGACAGTGATCACGACAATCACCGTGACGACACGTCTGCAAACAGAAAACACAGGGGGGTGACACGGGCAGCCGGGGCAGGCCGGCGCCGCTCAGACTCCCCCGTGCTGGGGCCCCGCCTTGCCTTCCAGGGAACCCCCTGCCTGCCACCGCCAGGAATCAGGAGTCGACAGCAGCTTGTTAGCAGCCCCCCCCTCGAGACAAACAGCCAGTTGCCACACTGGGGGGAGGGGAGGCAGCACACCGACGGGTACGGCCTCCTCAGCCCGGAGGGGACCTCCCACTCAGATCCCTCCTCTTCCTCTAAGCAGCCAAGCGGATCAGCGACTACACTGCACTACACTGCACTACACTACACTACACTGCACTACACTGCACTACACTACGGGGCTCCCACTTAGCCCCCTGTCCCCCCTCGGGAGACGGGCTACACATTCTGATTTCGTTCATATAAAGAGCTTTAAAATCCAGTCCTTAAAATAATGGGCACATGAAAAATAATGGCGACGCAAGAACTTGCTCATGATTTATTTTTCATATTGGCACATATTTGTCTGCAGTGTGTAGAGAGATAAAATCAGGCGGTTTTATAACGCTGCCAATGCATTATAATTATTACTACTGCGAAAGTGTGGCAGAAGCCCACTTACGCGACCGGGCCACGTGCCTTTGCGAGCGCCAAGGTGCCACGTCTGGGACAAACGGTGCCGTTTGAGGACAGAGCACTCTTTGTGCCCCGGCTGCCAGGCCGCACCCCTTGACGACAAGCTCCCCACCCCACCCCACACCACACCACGGCGACATCAGCCTGCACCCTGATGACATCACCCCGTGTGCTCCTTTACGCGATTGGGTTCTGCCATCTTTGTGCCAGCGAGACACCAGTGAATAATACTGCGCTGATCCAGTGTTATACCACTGCTGGGTGGCTTGATCAGGCAAGCAGGCTGACACGCTTCTTAGGAAGAGCCCTGAAAGCCACTGATGCAGCGTGTGTGTGTGTGTGTGTGTGTGTGTGTGTGTGTGCGTGCGTGTCTCTGCGGTGACTGGGACCTGCTTCCAGCAAATACAACGGTCACAGCGAGCACAGAGCCAGGCATGACACACACAGCTGTGCGAGCATGCGCACATGCACACACACACACACACACACACACACACACACACCTGGGCACGTACACACACACACACAGACACACACACGCACACGCACACACACACACACACACACACACACACACACACACCTGGGCACGTACACACACACACACAGACACACACACGCACACGCAGACACACACACACACACACACACACACAGAAACCAACAGGAACCCGCTGGCCTTTGCGGCTGACCGGATAAGGTCACGGGAGCAGTCAATGCCACCGGATGGGTAAAGACGTGATGGGGTGGAAACTCTGACTGGTTTACAGTAAATCAATGTGTCATTACTGATTTTTTTAAACCCTCGACGTTGTCACGGTGGGCTGCACGCAGGTAGCCCCCGAACAAACATGATCAGATCAGGCTCTAAAGCTAAAAGTGGAAAGGAAAAAGTGAACAGAACTAACGCATGGGTATGGTGACCTGAACAGAAACTTAATTTCTCCACACACCCAAACACCCACACACAAACACACACACACACACACACACAGAGCTATCTTTATAAAAATTATATTTTCAAAGCTGCAAGGGCTAAATTAAAACTTGTGTCTCCCCTTCTGAAGATGACATCTTCAAACTGTAAATTAATAATATCAAATATCATTCCCCACTTCCTTTATGGGGAAAGGAAGCCAGCCAGAATCCCTGTGGACCCCCACTCAGGCGAATAAGAGCCCGTGACAATGCCCCCCCCTTCCCCGAGTGGCCTGTCACGGGTGCGATGGCACGGTGGAAACTGCGGTCTCCGGCTTCCAGGAACGTGCAGAGAGCTCCCTCCCTCTCACAGCTAAAACAGTTTAGGGGCCCCGGGGCCCACAGAGAGACAGTGAGGCCACACCTCCCAGCAGCCAGCTGTCAGTTCTCATGAAGAGGGCAAACATGGGAGCCTCGGGATTGACAACCAGGTGAAATTCGCAATAAAAACCCCACGTCAGTAGCGAGTACGCCTGGGGCCGGCCGCTCCCCGCGTCAGGTTCCGTACGGGAAGCCGGCTTTGTCTACTGGGGACGTGTCCCTCCTCGGCGCCTTCAGAGCCGTTTACCGCGGGAGCACTGCGGTCACTGTCCTGCGCCGGCTGGCTCTGGCCCCGGTGGCCGGCCGGCTGCGATAACGAGGAGGCCAGCCCCAGCCCGATAAGCACTAATGTATTTAGTTACGCGTGAACTTCGCTCTTTGCCGACTGGCAAACGAGGAAGTAAAGCGACGGTCGGGATGAGCTTCGACATTAAGCCTGAAAACAGCCCCCACCCCCACCCCACAAGAAAAAGACACGATATGAGCCTTAACACAACTATGCCTAATGAACTTCCAGCCAGCATCTTGATCACAGCCACAGAGAAAGATCACAAACGACAGAGCAGCGTGGGCCGCCGCCGGCCGGCCGGTACCTTAGGGAGAGGCAGTCCCAGCTGAGAATAGAGTTTACTCCAAAGCTGCATCTGAGACATGAGTCCTAATGCTGTTGGGAAGCTGGCTGAGCTGCGGGTGAAAGTGCGTCTCTCTCTCTCCCTCTCTCTCTCCGCCGGGGTCCGTCCTCCCCCCGTCCTTTCCTGTCCCGGCAGGCAAGCGGCCTCACGCACGGCGCACAGAGCCCCTCTGCCTCGCCGGCTCTGCCTCGCCGGCTCTGCGGGAAGCTTTCTGCTGCCAGGGGAGTGCCGGCAATCTGCATAGGGGCTCGCTCACTCTGAGCGCGGTCTGGCCCGCTGGCAGTAAGCGTGAGCCGCAGAGGGAGGGAGGGAGGGAGGGA